CCCCCCGCAGAGCTCCGACACTCCAAATTAGGACAAAGTCTGCACTGAACTCCATTCACTCACTTCAGCTGTCTTCCCATTGACCGCTGTTCGTTGAGAATTATCTTCTCATAAGGTAAATAGTCCTTCCACGGACTTCTATATTCTCTGCATAGTCTTTCGTCCACTTACTTGCACTCGTTCTGAAAGGTCTCACCATTGTCTTTATTCTAGTTCCACCCATTACCTGTGAATGGATGTAGTTTCAATCTAAAGGAGGGTAGGCAGTATGTTACTGTGAGCCTGTTGCATAGCTGGGAGAAGAGGAGGAAGAGGAGGGCTGTGGGGGGTTCATCCCACCCTCCCTGTCTCAACTGCTCCAGGACTTGCGGTTCTCCCCCCGCCGCGCAACAATGGCTTCTCCTCGTAAGACGGGGACGTGGGGGGTGGCGGGGAAGTCTCCCGTGCGCCGGCTGGTCCGGTCGCGGCAGGACAGGCGGTCCGGGCGGACCAACACCCCGTACCCCGGTTTACACAGGAAGTACCGATGACCTCCCACTGACCCGTCATTTTTACCTGTAGGGAAGAAGCAACGGTCAGCACAGGAAATCATTTAGCATTAAGCTGTAGTCAGCTCCACCAACCAAAGCACAGAGGAGCCAATCAAGTCTCAGCTAGCCTCACCATTAACAGAGAAGTTTTGACTATTACAAAACCACAGTGTAGAATTGTATACAGTCTTTTTATTTTTCCTTATTATGAAGTTTTTTTAAATGATGTGATCACCCTAGAAATATATATTTGTTCTTATTGAGGTTGTATAAATGTAATTTATGGTGCCGTTTGAATGTGCCGTTAGTACAACTGTAATTATCTTTGTGTTGGACAAACTGTTGGCGAAGGCTAGATGGATTAGAGAAGAATATTTTATAATTGAACAAAACACATTGTGAATTTTACAATACATTTTTCAATAAATAAACACAGAAAGCTGCAAAGCATTAAAAAGTTGATTAAGTCAACATTATTAATTAAGCTTTAATACTCGAGTCATTTTTCATGTATTTGCGTCATTTGGGTGAATGTACCCTTTAATAGTGTACCTACCTACAGGGGTGTCCAGCTCCACCCCCACCCACACTCCATCAGCAAACTGCGTCACTCCCACGTAGCGTACTGTCCCGGCCTTATTGCTTCCTACTGTAACAAACGCTCCCTCTGACAGCCAATCAGGAAGTACGTCATTATTGCTACGCTCTTCATCGTCCACAAAGATCTCCAGCCTCTCAAAGCCTTCCCCCCCTCCTCCTCCTCCTCCTCCTCCTCCTCCTCCTGAGTTGACCAGCTTGTGTTCGGAGACAGAGTTTTCTGAGGAGACGTTGTTGTGATTGGCTGAGCTGTGGGAAGTGGGTGGAGCGACGACAGCCATCTTGGCGCCACACTGAGAAGGAGAGGTTACAACATCGTTCCTGTCAGCACCCTGCGTCTGGGGGTTTGTGGGTAACGTAGTGTCAGCAGCCAGGAGGGAGGAGGACGAGGAGGAGGGCTGGAGGACGTCAGACAGGGTAACCGTAGAAACACTACTGGAGAAGTAGCCGCTCGACGACTGGCTGAGGGGGCTGAGGGGGGTGATGTCATGCGGGTCATGCACAGGAAGAGGAGGGACTTCTGGGAACTCTGCCCGTCGGTCTTTGGTTGCGGGTCGCAGAATAGCAGGCTACAGGAAACCAACGGTTGCCACAGGAACAGGGGGACAGACGAGAGCATGCAAGGCAAAACAACAAAACAATAATCAGTAAAATAATAAACGACTGAAAATGGTGCTACTGATGCTACTTGTGTTATCTCCGTTGATGTTTTTTTTTAATAAAATCAGATTAAAATGGACTGAGTTAAAAGCTCAGACGGTTGACTCATCAAGGTCACTTGACAAAATCAATCTAAACTGTCTGACCTAATGAATACTAGTAGAAACTGGGCGAGCAGAAGAAGACGTGGGTTTTTACGAGGAAATGGCCTAACAAAAAACAGTCATTGGATTAATTCTTTAAGGGTCAAATCTATTGTTTCTGAAGCTTAGCAAACACTATGGACAACATTTAACAATGATCTGAGCCTCGGCTGCCTGACCATCTCCCGTCAGTCCCCAAACAATTGTGTTGAGAACAAATAAATAACAGTAGGCACTTTCATTTAAAACGGGGTCTACATTGTGCAGCTGGAATATGACAGGGTTGTATGATTGAAGAAAACTGCAGCGGATATCCACGGACAAAGATCAGATTACAAATGCACTTCAAATGTTAAATAAACAACAAACAACAGAGGGGAAAGCAGACCGGGGCATTATCTCACCGTCTCAGCCTTGAGTCGATTTTCGTCCCCTCCTGATGTCACGATGCGAGGGACATGCTGCTGAGTAACAACACACGAGGTCATTGTTAGGGGTTAATTCTGTCTTACTCCTAAGATATTTAACCTTTTCGCCTGTTGACGTTTATAACCAACCCTGACTCGTTATCTCCTTTAAAGAATGTGCTGCTGCACTCATTCTCAGTTTTATGACCGGGCAACTCTCGTTCACAGAGCCTAAGAGTCGGAGTGATTCAGTGTCTCCAGATGTTGGGGATATCTCCAGTGTTCCCAACTGTTGATTAACTCTGTAAACTAGTTAAAAGGTCTATCGAGAGAGAGGCTGGGCAGAATTGATGTGGCAACGCACCCGTGCAGTCAGAACCTCTGGCTGCTGTGGCTTGTGATGTGAATTCTCCGGCCGATACTTGTAATAAACTACCAGTGTTTGACATCAAAGCTCCAACTCTCCTAGTGTCTCTCTGAGTCCTGACTCTCCATTGCTGCAGAAGTTTCCCTTACAGTCATGACAGGAACACTTGTATGCAACCTGTATTTCATATTGATTTCTCCAGCAAGGCTAAATGAATGGCACCCTGGTTCCACCTCTCAAACAGCTACATAAGTCCTGGGGGAGCTCTACTTCAGCGTCTCTGCTCACCTGCTGGCTGTGTGGCGAGGGTCTCAGATCCTTCTTTTCGTCCCGCGCTGGAAACAGAGACTTGAGCAGTTTGGGCATCTGAGGAACCAGCGCCTTAACTGAAAGATAAGAGGCAGCAAGTCCTGAAAGACCTGGGGGAGGGGGGTGAGGAGGTGAGAGAGGAGGAGAGGATAGGAGAGGAAGGAAGCGAGGAGCAGGAGGTAGAGGAGGTGTGAAAGATTAAGACAGAAAGTTGAAAGCGAGTCCAGGAAATGGCAAAAACCCCAACAGTGACAGACTGACAGGAGAAGACATCAGCCGGCCGTAAAACACGCAGACGGTTGATTGAGCCATCGAAACAAGATTACAAACATCCTAATCACTGGACTATGGAACAGAAATTACTAAAAGAAAATATATTAATTCTGTTCATTTTCAGAACGGAACTAACCTAAAGCACAGATTTCACGTGATTTCTGACACTGACATGAAATCACTATGGCACAGAGAAATGTTCAGATTGATTATGCTGAAATGCTTTGTTAATGAATTTGAGAGAGAAGAATGCGTTAGACAAAGAATGTTACAGCAATGGATGTAAGCAACACTAAAAGGAGCAGGTAGGAACTAGAGACATTACGCATCACTGCCGCTGGTAAACAAAGGGAACAGAGCGGGGACGTAGTTTGTTAGGTAACCAGTGACACATTAGGTTGTGTAGGGAATTTTGCTTTTTGTCTGTTTAAATGCAAATATTGAAAACCAGTAAATAATGTATTCTATCATATCAGGCTTTCAATCTAGAGCCCTGGATTCCAAATTGTACCAATTACTTTTTTCAAATGGAAATGTGGCTCAATGTGGTTCCAAGTTTCCTGTTTTACTGCACAGAAATGCATCAAAATCTCTGGTTGCTAATTATTAAAATATCCTGGACGTAGAAAAAAAAAACGTAGTATTTGTTATACAGAAAATAATTTATTGTGAACACAAGTGGCAATTTTTTAAATAAACTGGAATTAAAATAGTTACAATTCTGAAAATGAATAAACATTAAAGTTGGTTAAAAGACTAGGGAAAGTGGAGGATAATCTAAATATATTTATATATAATAATAACAATATTTTATGGCAGATTTTTACATATTCCTCTTCGACATCAGAGCTAAGTCATTTAGATATGAGTTTATAGTAGAAATGATGAACCCAGAGAGAAGAATGAAAGGTGGGAGAATAGAAGTTAGCAATATGGAGGAAAAGAGATGAGGAATGTATGGTAGAGAAAAGAAGAAAGGAGCAGTGGTGGGGGTAAAGAGAGGGGGTTTACCTTGCTCCGGCTCCTGGTTCTGTGGGGGTGTCATACCGAAGGGAGACTGGGATGAAGAAGGAGAGGTGGAGTAGGTGGAGGGGGAGGAGGCGGGCCGTGGGAGGGTGCGGTGAAACTGAGAAGGCATGAAGATATCCTGCTGACTCTCCCATCGACCCTGAGGAACAGATGATGGGACATTGGTTTGATAAACACAAAAACATGTCAATGGTAAATAGGAACAGATATATTAGGTGGGAGGTGTTGTTCGGTATTTAGTCACTTAAGACTGACAATTACCACTGGATCCTCAATTAATCATAAAATATTTGAACACATTACTTTAAGAACAGCCAACAAGAACCAGCACAGGTATGTTACCTTATCTTCCAGGCAAGATGTGGACAGGTCTTGTCTACTTCCGGACAGCTGAGGACGGATGGACAGAGAGATGATTCATATTATATTGTTCTATATTGGATTATCATTGAGTGCAGTATAATGTCATTGTGTGTGTGTTTTACCCTGTGGACAGAAGGAGAACTGATGCTCCGTCTGTTGCCTTTTCCTCTGCTAGTCAGTTGCTCCTTCACTGCCACCTCCTATAAAGCAACCGAACATTTTCAACATATTAGAAAGCACTCAATCGGGGGGGGGTACAATCAGGAAAAACAAACACAAATCACAACTTTGATACATTTTATATCCTGCGTCTTATTGAGCTTCTATGTGTGTTAAAACCAACTGCACACCTTCCTGTCATTCAAAAGATCTAAATTCTATCTGTTTTAGACTTTTTATATTTTCCCAGCGTCTCCACCCACCTGTCTGAGTCTGTCCAGAGTCAGGATGTTCTCCAGGCTGAGGACACTGCGGAGGTATTTCTCAATAGCAGCTTCTTCATCCGGTGACTGGTTGCTGTGTGCGCTTGCAGCGAGGTTGGCCAGCATCTCCCTGTCTTCTGAACCAGGGGCGTCCTGATGGGACGAAAAAAAGATTGTGTTTAATAATTCACCATGTTGCTGAGCAAAGCATGAAATTAGTATTTGTTTCCCCTGGCCTTACCCCGGGGATGTTGGAGACCACCTCGAAGGTGACCCCGCAGCCAGGTATGGTGCTGCGCGTGGACATCCTTCTCAGGAAGTTGTGTGCAAAGCCCTGGCGGCCCGGGTTCACGTTGACGCAGATCCTCTTCCTCAGGACCAGCTGCATGTCGGCAGGGTGGCTGAGCTGGACCACCACCCGGATGGTCAGGTAGACCCGCTGCTCCGGCCACGCCCCCCCACGACTGAGCTGCGGACACTCGTGGACCGTAGAGTCCCATGATGCCTCTGCTTTCACCTGCAGGGTCGACAAACGTCATTGGTTAAAGGGAAACAAATCTTTATTGTCCTTTTCTTTAGGTACTCTACAATTATGCAATGCTTTAGTTACATTTAACCAAACAAATAAATAAACACTGTAAAGAAGTCAAAGCCAGAGTTTCCGTTAGAATTTTTTTTTGCCAGTCAACATGTCCGTTAAAGTTTAAATCTTCCGGACAAAATGAGAAAAGTGCCAGTCAAAGGTCTTCTTTGTTATTTATTGAGCTTTAAAACAAATTCATAACGACTCTATATTAAACAAACTAATTATAGTAGATTAACCACATTATTCTAAAGTGTACAGTAACTTTGGATAATAACACAGGAATAATAAATAATAATAATAATCTTTCCCTCTCTCCTGACAGCCCGTCAGTATCGTCTCCTGCAGCTCACTGATCCAGTAATGAGTGAACCGACAGTGAAGAATAAATATATTTATAACTAGTTTAGCTTGTTCCAGAGGTCGATAAACTAGCTAAGTGTGTTAGGTCTAACTCTTAGTGTATTTTGCTCCGCTCAAAGGTCCGTCACAGCGGGCGGAGCTGTGATCATGCAGAGCTGCGTGTCTCCGTCAGCATTAGCTGATCTGCTCTCTGATCTCTCTCTCGCGTCCGGTTATACTTCACTCGCGTTTATGTCCAAATCGATCAGNATCCAGTAATGAGTGAACCGACAGTGAAGAATAAATATATGTATAACTAGTTTAGCTTGTTCCAGAGGTAGATAAAATAGCTAAGTGCAGGGGTAGACATTAAGGGTGAAATGCCACTGGCCCTCCGGCCCGGTGGAATTGTATTGTCACTGGCCCCACCATTGTAACCACTTTGCTTGGCAACGGGGTGTGGCGGGCAAAAGTATAGCGCAGCATTATGGCAAGCATAAGCATTTGTTTACATGAGGGTCCAAAAATGCCCCTTCAGGAGGATACAACTCTTCTCCCCAATTAAACTTCAAGACATCTAGAAAGGCAAGTGACTGTGCAGTAGAGTATATGACTCTTCTTGTCTGTCCACATAAGTGAGCTGCAACTGATGCGCTAAGGGGAAATTATTTTGACCGGACATTTTGACCGGAGTGATTTAGATTTGCCGGTCTTCAGCATATTTTACCGGTCATAGTCCGGTAATTACCGGCTAACAGAAACTCTGGTCACAACAATTAAAAAAGAAGGCGCGAGTTATATGAAATTGACAGAGATATTGATATAAATATACAGAATTTCAAAAATGGACTTCCTCATGCGGGTCATTCCTCACCTCTCCGTCGTAGTGTTTGACAATCTGTAGGTCAAAGAAGTCGTCCTCATCTTCTCCATTCAGAGTGGCGTCCCAGCCCCCAGCCTCAGTAACCTCAAACTGGTCCTGAGAGCTGAGGTCATCAGCTGGGAAATCAATAACAAACTTTATAAATCAGCTAGCCAGATGAAGAACACATTAAACGGGCTATGAATTAAGCGGTGACATACCATGTGTTATTTAGAGATGACCTAGCATATTTTATTTAGCAGTCACGTAGCATATGATGTCAAGAGGTGACTTAGCATATTTGATATGTGACTAAGCAATTTAGTGTTGACTTGGCATATGTATTTAGAGATGACTTGGCATACGTTATCAAGCGAGCATTAGCATATGTTATTTAGCAGTGATTTAGCGTAGGCTATTAGAGGAGACTTACATTTCAGGTTCAGGAAGAGGACAGGAATATGAGTCTCCATTCCCGGCAGAGGAACCCTATAAGAAAAAACATGGCAGACACTATATTAAACAAATATACTAGCCTTATTGAAATGATGTTGAGGCAATCACAAGGTAATATTATATTAAATATATGAAATGATAGAAGCGCACACTCAACGTGCCATGTGTCATACCATTCAGCAGGAGCTCCAGGAATGCCGCTGCCAGGGAAGGGCACCATGACAGCGTTTCTCTCCTCGGTCAGAGTCAAGCGCCACTCCAGCAGCTGGGCCTCCCTCTCCATGTCATCTTCTGTCTTTTCTGAACACACAACATGCCTCAAACATTTAACCCTTGCTACAGAAGATGCCTACAAGCTAGAGACCATAACTTTCCTGAGAAAGGGGAGTGTTACAGATTGTTAAATGTGAATGTTGTGACTTTATTTTGATGGAACCGTTTTTTAAGGGTTGCTTATAAGTTAGTAATCCATATTAAACGTTTTCTGTGGGAAATGTTTAGTGTAAAGAAGACTTTACATTTGACTTTGCAAAAGATGTTGCATTAATAAAGGGCTTCACAACCCGTAAGGGGAACAAGAAAAGCTACATTTTGAGACTCAAAATAGAAGTTGCTAGTTTCATAAGCTTAAGTGTATATTTCTACATTTCAGATCATTAGTCCAAAGCCTCATCTTGTCATTTTGAAAGTATTAAACTAAGCAACAACTATGGTTACCACTCTTTCTTTAACATCAAATGTTACAGTGATGGAGGGTTATATGCTCTCCTGAACCATGAACAACAGTGTTAGCATGTTTTATGTATGTTGTTATACTCATGTGTGGGGGGTACTCATACCTGCTTGGCTGACTAAGCTCTGCAGGTGCTGGTCGAGGTATTCCTGCCTCTTGGTGAGAGCGGCCAACCACTGCCGTCGCAAGCGTTCCAGGTCTGTCTCCTAAACAACAAACCAGTCAGTTCATTATCTTCCGCCTCAGTTCACCTATTGTCAAAGACTGTAAACAGAGCTGTGCTAAACTGATCTACCTGATAACTGTCCATCTCATCCACTTCCTGGTTAGCTGTGGTGTTTCTAATCTCCACACATCCAACTGACACTGCAAGCAGGATTTCTGCTATCAGCGGCATGGTGCCCGAGTCCTGAACTGAACGCACGTCCACCTGGATTCGCCTCGACTGACCCTGGAGGACACAGAAGTTTAGAAAAATATTTAGATGTTGCCTTCTGTTGGTTGGTTATTTTTGCTAGTTCCACATGCTGTGAGCAGGTTGGCTGTGGTTGTGTGTGTCGGGGCTTTTCCCTACCTGACGAAGCTGGAAGATTCCCCCGGTCTGAACATCTCTAGCAGGAACAACTTCCACTGGGACAAATTCTCCATTCTCGTTTATCTCCAGGATTTGAATCCACAGCTCGAGGCGACGCGTTACCTCGCTCCACCTACAAAAATGATTATGGTTAGCACAGCAAGACAACAATTATTTTTTTGTTTGGGTAATGGAAAAAAAGAGAAATACAAAGAGGACTGCGTGTGTCTACCTGTCTCGTAGTGTGCGTGTCTTGGCCTGGATGATGCTGAGGTCCCACAGGGCGGGGTTTCTTCCTGCGTCGGCCTGTCTGTGTCCGTATACCTCAATGGCGACCGCTCCTTCAGTCAGGTATTCGATGAAATCTTCCGATACTGACACTGCCACCTCCTACGGAACAAAGAAAGATCAGTATGATACCACTAGCTCAGCCTCACCAATTGTTATATACACATTTGCTTTCCAACTTTCTACGTGTCAGTTTCAACAATGATTGCCCGACACCTCTTCCCTCCCTGGCTTTACCTTGCAGCTGTCAAACACCACCATGCAGTGTGGGTCTTTTGAGCTGGGCGACGAAGACGATGGGTCTACTTCAGGAGCCACGATGATGGGCTCAGGCTGATCCCAGAAGGAATACTGACAGAAGACGAAGTTGGACAGGTACTGGGGAAGACCAGTGGCCTGCAGAATCTTAAGCTGTGGAGGACAAACAGGACAAGTGATTTAAATACAAACTTCAAACTCATTTTAGGGTTGAAACAACTCCTCTCTAAAACTTTTTAGCAAAAGCTGAACCTTCAAAACCTTCAAAACCTTCATGATACAGATTGTATTGCAAGATTGTTCACTACTGTAGGTGTATCTAAACCTAGACCTCTAGAACCCACTCATTATAAAACTCACTATAAAACAAAGGTCCTGGAATGATGTTGAACTGCTAACAGAGCCAGGCAGGAAGAACGATAATGCAAAACTCTCCGATGATCTGTCTTTCTTACCATGCAGACCAGTTTGCGATCTGGGACTTCAGCATCTTGGTTGTTGTCGGTTTCATCGCCTCCAGCCATGTTGTCCTCTAAACCCCCTCCGACCCTCACCACCTCCACATGAAGACGCCCTGCAACCTGACCACAGGAGAGGGGAATATATTAAAAGAACATTTTAACCCAACCATACCTAGAACATGGATCTATGGATGTCTCATCCACCACTGGGAGTTTTATTGTGAACATTCAGCTTGGACAATTCTTTTAAATCTTTTCTTACATGCTTTTATAGCAATCTAGCAAAATGGTCAATATTCTTTGACATTTGACACTGGTATGTACTGTATGAATGTGCAGGATTTAAAAGACATACTGAGTATGTCAGAGAAAGATGTAAAAGTATTAATAGAAGCATCACATTACACCAAGTCTAGAGACGTTTTGTCCCAAGCTCAGATTTTCCATCCATTAATGGCACTACTTCATGACAAACGATGGCGTTACAGGATAAGGGATGTAAGAATGAACATGATAACCAACACGTTTCTGGATGCCTACCTCCCCCTTCTGGTTAATGATGGGAACAGCATAGTTGAGTTTCACATCGTAGAAGAGACAGGAAAGGAAGACGTTTGCGACGCCAATCAGACTGTGGTTTTCCTGCTCGTCAAAGAATGGGTCTGCCCGACGGAAATATGAGCGCATCACCTTGAATAAAAGAAGAACATTGATTTAAAACACAGGAGAACTTTGTTTAGTTTGCATATTTTAAGCAGCATAGTGCATCGTTGATGATTCCATAGCTGTCCTGGCAGCGTTATTGTAAGACTTTCCGAGAATACGTCTCAAGTCAACTCACAGGGTTGTCCTGGTCATGGAGCTGGTAGTCCTGCCACTCCTGGTACAGCTCTCTCATGTCCACCAGACGGTTCTCCATCTTCTCTAGACTCCAGATCTGCTTCCCTCGACACCGGCGTCGAACTTGAATTGCTGGTTCACTGAGCACAGCGTCTCTCTATACACACACAGACATGGGTATCATTGAGGATTTTCTGTGCAGAAGAATTGTATCTTTGCACGAGTGACTAGCTGCTTGTGTGTGTGAGACCTTGCGGTTTGCGTTGAGGTTGTCTGATGGGATCTGCAGAGTGACTCTGTACTCTGTGTGTCGCTCCAGCTCATCAGAGATGAAACAAGCTTCTTGAACCAGGAGGTTGGCTCTCACGATCTGCTCCCTCAACCGCCGCAGACTCCTAACCAACACCGCCTCCCTGAAGGGGGGAGGGAGAAGGGTGGACAGAGGTGAGGAGGAGGGAATACAAGGAGCAAGTGTTTAGTTTGCATTCATATCTTAGCAGAAACACAAACAGGGATGTATTGCTCTCAATCTGTGCTTAGCTTTAGTGGATCAGAAGCTTGGGTATCAAATTCATTTGCAAATGCTCAGGTTCAAAATGTTTTTGTGATTTCAGTGTTTGAGACACAATAAAAGGCAACATGTGGCCTGCAACAGACACGGTAAGGCTTAGCCTGGATAATGGCCTTAAATGCCTTTTGCCACTGAGGCAGTTGTTGAGAGGATTTAAGAGTCAACAGTCAATGAAGGTATCAAAAAAGTGTACAAATGTTTTTCAAGCTTTGAATGACCACAACCACGTGAAATCATCGAGTCATAAGTCAGTACAAAAAAGGCAGCTGGGACATTAACATGCAACATAAGAGGCTTACGCCTGGTGGAGATAAAGTCTTTTATTTGGAGTGTAAATATATTTGTGGTCTCACTCTGACCTGTCCTCATTCCACTGCCTCAGTCTGCTCTGAGCGCTGGTTGAGTGACTCATCCCTCCCATGCTCAGTCTCTCCAGGCTGCGGTAGTGGGACTGCTGTCCTGGGACCTGCTGTCCAGACGGCGGTCCTCCAGAGGAGCCGGACGACAGACGGTCCGGGTTCAGCTTCTTGCGGAGCTGCTGGAGCTCCTGCTCGTACATCTGTCTCTGCCGCTCCAGAGCAGATTGCTTCTCCTCTTCATGCTGCCTCTCCAGAGATTGGAGGACTGCTTGCATTGGATCTGAGGGAACAAAAAAAAAGTCAGAAAACATGACAGGGACTTAACTAACGAATACTCAATGCAGACTAATATTATTTACCGTTATTGCCCAGGGCTTTCATCATGACCTCTGTCTGAGCGAACTCGTAGGAGAAGCTGACCTCACTGGACACTTCGCTGCCTGTGTCACCATCTGCATCCAGCTGCTCACTGCTGCCACTGTTCTTCATCAGGCCCCCCTCGCCCTCCTCATCCTCAGCTCCCCGAGCACTCCGCTTAGGCAGATTGATCCTGGAGGGAGGATGTCCAGTTAATTAACAATGAGCTGGTTGATTTGCTATATCTTAATTGTCACTGATATTAGGTCATATATGCTATAATCATTGGATGTTAATCAGTACAAATCTGTATGTGTTTATAGCAGTTGCAAACTTTATAAAATGACATTATATGTTGAAATACTGAGATGATTTTATCAAATGAATAGCAATAGAATAATTAAAAAGATAAATAAACACATGCAAATATTTTGAGGGTATACAATTACCTGAAGAAGTGGTTGTTTCCCCAGAAGATTCGGTCGCCATGGTGAAGCTGCAGAGCACTGGTAACTGGAGAACCGTTTACACACGTCCTATAACAAAGTGAAGACAGCATGACATTGGGATTTACTGTTAGAAAACTGGTTTAACTATTTCTTGACATATTAGGAACTCTTAACCACTGTCAGTGCAGTGCATCCCTTACCTAGCGTTGCGGTACGGGCTGAGGATGACCGCAGCATCAACATTAATGTTGATGACACAGTGCTCTGCCTGGATACCCATGCCGCACAGCTGGATGTCCTGAGAGTCTGCCGAGCCCACCTTCGTGTGTTCCTAAGACAGGACATTCAAGATATCGTAAAGCATTTTTAGCATATATGGTGGGACAATTGAATACATGTTATGTATTCTGGAGTGAGGCCAACACACAATTTAATAAAGCGCATCAATTCTTGCTAGAAATGAATTTACAGAATCCCTTGTATTGACTTAATCTATTTTGTTCACCAAACGCCGTCTTGTTCACGTTTTCTTGGAAACATTTTGTGCTTTTAAATTTGGTAAATGGGTATAATTCTTTGCTTCCCAACACACACATCACTGTTTTCCAAAAGCGCCCACTGTTGTTCAGATAGCTGACTCCTGATCAGCCAGTAAGCTATGACAACTCCAAGTCCAAATAATGGTCATGTGTGAAGACTTAAGTAATGTTTCAACCGGCAGATGGATTACATGATAGTGAGATTGAACTCCGTCTTTGTGATAATACTCAGTGTAAATATTTGGAATAAGTTGCAAAGCATACTAAATTATGGTCTGGAGAGTGTATGTATGCATGTGTGTGTACCTTTAGATAGTACACCAGCAGTTCATTGAGGGCAGGATCTGCGTTAAGGTTGACAAGGTAACTCTTATCATCTCCAACTTTAATCCCTGATGACTGGAGAGAAATACCCAGACTCTCCAGCTGCTTCTGACGCTCCTACAGACACAGAAACAAATATGATATACTATTCACACAATATCTAAAACTCTTGCCCGGGGCAGTTTTAGAAAATCAATACAAATCAAAGTTAACCGTTTGGTTTCATAATCATAACTTTCCCAGCTCTTGTGTCTTACCTGTGCAATCTCCTCAGTTTTTCTCAGCTTCTGCTCCCAGGTGTAGGTCATCTCTTGAATCAACTTTTCAGACTCTTCCAGACGGTCTTTCAGCTCTGGGGCCTTCAAAGACTGGAGAATGAAACAACAGATCAGAGTAAGTAAAGGCCAGGGGTAGCCAACACGGTGCCAGTGGGCACTTAGTCGCCCGCAGGGGCAACGTGGGTCGCCCGTGGGGCATGTTCTAAATATAGCTCGCCAAGCAAATCCAAAATGTATAAAATACACAAAACAAAAAAGGAAATGTAGTTAAAAGAATCTACCCTATACATTAACGAAACCTCAATCATAGCGAACTCTATCTACTAACTACAACTCTATATCTATCTAACACCCCTCCTCCCCCCACCCCCACAATGAATATCGACCAATCATGTTCTTGCTTGATTTGCGGGACCAGCGTTGCAGTCGGGAAGAAAAGCAATGTGGAGCGGCAGCTCACCGCTTCATAAGGAGTGTGACCTTTCCTTCTGGCAGAATCTACACAACACATCAGCCCCATTGAACAGCCTAGTCGTGCCAGCCTATACCACACATGAGGGGCAGAGCTTTACTCTGTGTGTTGCAACTTGCATATTATTTATTACACTTGACGCACACACACGCATGGCATAATTTGCACTGGGGACAGGGGGGGAAATGTCCCCCTACTTTTCGAAATCCCGTTTGTGTCCCCCCACTTTACAAATATGTTTATTATTATTTTTTAACGCAAGCCGTCATCGCCACGGAGGAGCACACAGCCTCTGTGAGCGAGCGAGACAGAGAGAGAGAGAGAGAGAGAGAGAGAGAGAGAGAGAGAGAGAGAGAGAGAGAGAGAGAGAGAGAGAGACAGAGAGCACACCTTTATCTATTTAGTATAGATAAAGTAAGAAATCATTCCAATGTGTACTATAGGACAATAAAAAAACAAAAAACAGTTTAAAAGGAGAGTGATTAGTAAAATATGCATAAATAAAAAGAAAGAATGCTAACTAGGTAACATAAGATAAGAATAAACAAGTTTAAATGATTTGTTGTTGGTTGTGATAATATTCTAAAGATGTTTGGATTATTGAAAAGTATACAGCTCCCTTTCATATGAGTGTTGAGAGCTGTATCCATCAATTCATGTTGTGCTCAAAGTGCAGCAGATTGATTCATTTTACTTCAACATTTAAAAAAAAATTTTTTCCGGGGGTTGTATGCCCCCGGACCCCCCTAGAGGATGTGAGGTCCACCCCCCAAATAAAGCAGGTTAAAATAATTGAATTGCATACATTTTCTTTGAGTAAACACTGAAAACGGGTCCCACTGACCCAAACAGCACACAAAGGTTAAAGGTAAGCATATAATAATGTTAAAATGTGCTAAATACATACACTGCAAAAAACTTCAAAGTAGTAAAAGTAGCCCCCGACTTGTTTTATTTTTTGAAAGTAGCTCTCATCCCAAAAAAGGTTGGTGACCCCTGACAGATATTTGTTTAAGTTGATTTTGAAAGTTTTGAGGATATCCCACCTCTGCCTGAGTCAGTTGCACTCGTAGTTTATCTACTTCCTCCCGGAGTTCCCTGGTGATGCGAGCATTGGGGTCTTCATTGACAACAGCGTGGTTAACAATGCTCTTTGCTCTGTCTGCATAGCGCAGCGTGGAGAGCGTCTCATCGTAGTTGTCTGCTGCTGGACTCACAGTTGCAACCATGGCTGTGCGACTGTTGCCACCCAGACAGTCCTGGAGAGAGGTGACCATGAAAGGAAAAAAAAGGGACAAAAAAAAGTTGAAAGAAAATTCACTCTATAGTCAAACAAAGGAAATATATTTTTCTAATTTTCTGGTGAACACGTTTATTGTGACTGTACCTTCAGGAGCCATGTCAGAACAGAATCTCTGTAAGGAACAAACTTGTTTTTGTTCTTCGTTGTTCCCTGTTCGGCTAGCGCTGAAATCACCAGACCCAGCGTTGTCAGAGACCTGACAAACAAACAAAAACACACTACGGGTAAATGCGATGCTTTTGAGTTTTTACCGTGGTTATCACGTGGCAAGGGAAACAAAAGGTTCTCCTAATGTGCTGTCAAGTGTTTTACTATGATTTAGATATAAGGAGTATAAGGAAAGTTGCTGTAGAGAGGCACCAAATTCACAAAGGGGTAACCGAGAACCAGGAAGATATGCTTTTTTCACATTAGCCATCCAGCTATAATTTCAAATGAAAAAAATGGCACGTGGCAACACAAGAAATGTCTTGCTAAAGAAAGTAACACTGCCAAGTTGAAAACATCTTAAGACAATTTAGAGTTTAAATGACACAAATGGGTTTGTGTGTAAGTGGGTGTTGAGTGTGTCAGTGTTGCTTTCCCGTACTTGTTGATGTTGCTGCCCTCCTTGAGTCGCTCCCCGGCTGCTCCAGTCTTTGCTGCTCGCTCACTTCCAGCCAAGTCTACCAGACTCAGCCGACTAACCTTCTCCCCACTCGTCTACAGAGAAGGAAAAAAAACACAGTAGGAAAGACTGATTATTGTCTCAATCTTTACACTTTTTAGATAAACTGATAAACCAACCACTTGGGTATTCTTTATGTTTTTAATTTACAATCTAAGTGCTTGGATGGTTTTCAGACGACCAACCACTGCCTTACACTTTCATTTATAGTAAATCGGACAATCGCTGTTTTTGAATTCTTAATAGAATATTTACCCTAAAAGGCACCTCATTTCTAAACTACATCACCACCAGTTGTATGACCTGGTTCAGCACTCCCTATGTTTTCTACACTACAATAATACGCCTTGTTGGAAAAATCGGAACCATAAAATGAACCTTGCCCAGATCATTTTATTACTGGCCATTACGGGTATTATTAAGTATTATTGTACTCATTGAAATACGCCAACAAACTCCACAATGACTCTTTATGACATATGCCATTCATGTGTGTCATAAACAGATAATGGTCCCTTTGTCTGTTGGCTAAATGCATCATGAAGCCAAAGTAGGCTTGGTGGACATGTACTGTAGCTTTAACAGTACACTTGAAGCAATGCATGCGTTAATTTTCACTATTTTCTACTACAAATAGTACTTTCTCCTACTTTCTTGTAAACGACTGTCCACCAGCTTGTCAGATCCAGCGGGTGGCAGCCATTTGACACATGTACCAATTTTCTTTGTGTCGTCCAGGACAAACACATGTCTCCGGGCTGTGGTCTAGAACATTTATACAGATTTCATCATGCTGACAATCCTGGAAGCAGAATTGTACATCCTCATGAGGTCTGACAGGACTCTGATGGCTCACTAATTACAGGAGGCTCTACATCAAAGCAATCCCCACTGGGTTTCAGCTGCTCCAACTGAGCCTTACTCCAGTTTGGCTCCATGACAGCAAGAGACAAATCGAGCTCAGAAATAAACAACAAGGTGTTTGGCTTCATCAGAAGGCTCCTTTCATTGATTTGATCTTGCTAGGCTGGATACTTGTGTCAACTCTTCTCTATGCTGTCTCTGATAGTTTTGACTCTACCAACAAGGTGTGGATATCACATTGCCATTCACAGTGGGAAGGATCCACACCTAGCCAGGCGTGACAGCTCAGCCTCAGTAGCTGACAAGGCTGAACACCAGGGGCCGTATTCACAAAGGAATTTATCTTACCGCTAGGAGTGCTCCTAACTCGCACTAAAACATTTTACGTAGGAGTTTTTTCTTTTAAAAGTTATTCACGCGAGGCGCGCTGAGACCTTACTCAGATTGACTAAGGAGTAAATCACTAGAGTGACACTAAGAGGGACGGCGCCGTTGCTTATGGAATACGTCGAATCGTCGTTGCTATGAGTTTAGAAGCTGTCAGTGCGGTGGATTGGTTGTTCAGAGCAGGCGGTCTCGGGTGAAACTCATCCGCAACATCCAACAAACGAGTCCCACTAAAAACAAGGAAATAGCCTAGGCTAGAAATGGTATTCCTATCAAATAGTTATGTGACAGCTGCAGTTAGCAGAATACACGCTGATGACAGTTTGTGCAGACCACGATAATTGACGGTTTGTATATGGCACGTTAAAGAGAGAGAGCAAACAATAAAAATACGTAAATTGCATTAAATCAAGGGACAATTTAAAAAGCACCCGTGCAAACTATTATCCAATGAGCATATTTCCAGCACTTAAACCACTTTTCAATAACAGGCCCATACCGCCGTTACAGACCCCCTATCATGATGAATTGATAAACAAATCCGCGCCGTTTGAATGGGGAATGGTTACTTTCTTTTCTATGGACGACATCGTTCCCCTCATTCTTTTGGGGGAGCGCAATTATTTATGTTGGCGTTTCCCGTTCAATAGCACCGACCCGTAACACCCAGGGCATACCTGCATTGCCATGAAGGTTGGGCTTTTGGATTCCATGTTGTTTAGGTTGTTAATTGGTTTCCCAAGGGGAAACCCGGGATAACTGTTGGATGATATGTTGTGTGTGTGGTCTAGAGAGCGCGTTATGGTTTGGGGTTTTATGGCCGTACGTGGTTTGGTTGTGTGTGTTGTGTGTGTGTCTGGTGTCTGAGAGTGTGTGTGAGTGCTGACTGTGGATGGGTGCCGATATTTCTGTGCTGTGTGTATGTGTGTGTGTTTATCTGTCTTTGGGCCATTGCCAAAGGTTGCCATTTTTTTCTGCCCTGTGGTGTTTTTGGGGCTGAAATATCCGTAGTGTTTGGTGTGTGTGTGCTGTGTGCGCCGTGTGTGTGTGTAGGTGATGCCTGGTGATTTTCATTTCCTGCTGAGTTCACTTTAATCGGTTATTTCCTGTTAAGTCGAGAGTGTGTGTGTCTGTGTTTGAGAGTGTGTGTGTTTTGGATTGTTATTTGCATTCCCTGCACTAATTCCCAACAAATCGCTGCGTCTAGATAGTGTGGTGTGGTTTGTTTTTTGATACCCTTTGCACTGTGGAGTTTGAGCTGTGTTGTGTGGTGTGTGTGTCGTGTGTGTGTGTGTGGCGTGTGTTGTGAGAGAGAGAGAGGAAGAGAGTGCTTTGTGTGTCGTCTGTGGTTTGAGAGTGTTGTGTTGTGTGGTTTGTGTGTGTTGGTGGTGTGTGTGTGTGTT